ACTAGAATAATCGTATATTGTGCCAACGCTGCGCAGCAGTTGCATGTCTTCGGCTGCACAGGGAAAGCCTGTTCTTCATTAATTACAAGCTCATCTTCCCGTGGTGTACGCGTTATTACAAACGAGGCTCTGGTGGCCTGGCCGTAGTATACACATCACATGGTGCTCATGCACTCAAGGGAAAGCATGAGGCCAGTGGCGCGTTTACCAACACAAACGCTTCACAATTAAGGAGTGCTTTGTTTGTGCTAGCCGGTTCGGTGTAAAGTAGATAAGCCAAAATCCCTGAAGGACTATAGAAAGAAATACGATTGGAAATGGTGTGCTCCAGTAATGGAGTACAGAAAAATTCTCAGCGCCGCAGTTCTTTGCAGTTTATGAAGCATACTTGCTGCCGATTTGTAAATGGCATTTCAGCGAAACGCAAACTGTGTTATATAGAAAGAGTCAGTTCATATTTTAACCTCAGTGCACAATATTGAAGTACCGGAATCTGTAAAACTCTTTGTGGGATACACGGAAAAGTCCGCTTTTTGCCTTATGGCTGAAAATCAGAATGGCCGACGAGTGTTATGGAGGCATCACTCTCACATCGAATTTCACGGAAATTTTTTACTAGATACTCGTATATACGTGAAAAGCCCCATTTACGACGTTTGTGTGAAAAAGGCTTTGTCATGGCATAGAATGGCTGAACGTTGGAATTGTTCGACAGCTTTTAGAGCAAGTTTTGGACGTCGAATCTTGAATCTGCCCAACGATTTAGGCCACAGAGAGACACAGACATTGCCTTCACACAAAGCGTTCATTTTACTTTGAACGATATGCCGAAAAGACCGCCTCTGTTGTCTAGTGATCAGAGTTCCTGGCTACAGATAAAGCGTTCCGGGTTCGATTCATGGCACTACCAGATTTTCTGAGGAGTAGTGGGTCTGGAAAGGGGTCCACTCAGTCTCGTGAGGATAATTGAGGAGCTATTTCAAGGAGATAGCGGATCCGGTCTTGAAAACCGAGATTAACAGCCGTGGGGATTCGTTGCGCTGACCACGCGACACCTTGTATCCGCAAAGGTTGGCACTAACTTCGCCGACAATCGGCGGTCGCTCGGTCGGTATAGTCCGCTTGTTGACTAAAACCACGGTGTTTTGATATGCTGAAAACAGCATAATGTGAATAAGGAAGTCAGATGGTTTAGAGAACTTCAGCAATGAAATGTTATGCTTAACAAAATGAGTTCCCTGCTTTCTGAACGGTTTTTTGACGTCACTTGTAAGTTTGCGAAACCGGAGACTTCCGAGTATGATATTTAAAACAATGTAATAATTTGAAGAAATCTAGCATTCTTTGACAGTAGTTTTAGTGCCATGGGCACAAACGTAACTGACAAACGTTCGAATTCATTTAAGCATACAGTTAGTGAATAGCAATAGTAAACACTTGAAATTAATTCATTTAAACTGAAATGTGTATTGAATTGATAATGTAGGAAAGCGTGTATGTTGGGTTAAGAACTACAGATTATTATGTATGCTTCAAGATGTTTTCTAAATAATTTTGCCGAAAAAATATTTGTGACTCAGGTCTACAATTTTGCTTGGATTTCTGTATTACTGTGTTAATACGGCTGTGCATCGCAATCAGATTACAATGAAGAGAAGATGCTGTAATACGATATATGTATGGTTTGAGGTTCACACAGCGGTGGTTATGAAGAGTTTTATCTTCTGGGATATAACGCCGAGCAGTCCGTTGAGAGTCATCGGACGTTTCGGAAGAGAGCTCTGCTTGCCACCTGCTTTCATGCTAGTTTTTGCTCGGCTTATTCGACCTTGAAGATGGAGGCGACACGATTCTCCGAAACCTCGGTTGTCTTTCGGCGGACTATACGGCTTTGTATCCCAGAAGATAGAAGTTTTCATGTCAGAATATGTCAGACGGTTAATGAATGTCATGTAAGAGAAAGTTCAGTTCGGAATCCTGTGTGGGGTAGAATTATTATGGCTCGATGTGGCTGGACATAGTCCTTGCACGTCTGGCGGAAGTGCAACAATATCAGTGGGACGGTTTATGGGATGCATGGAAAAGTCAAGTTTATGCAAAGAGGCGTAATAGATGAATGAATATGTTTGGAAGTCGGAATTGTTTGGCAACTTTTGACAAAGGCTTCTATATTGAATTTGAACAAATCCTGTGAAACTATTTTATGGTATACATGGAGAAGTCGAGGAAAGAGACGCATGGCGTTCCGAGGGAGGGGGCCAGCCAGGTTTTCGGCTTATTGCACCCGACGTAGGCGGAGGTAATGTCCTTCATATACTTAATTGATTAAGATGTTACAGTATAACTGCTAGTCAGTGGGTCACTAAACACATTCTCGCGACAACGAATACTTCTATTGCTAGGCAACGGTGCAGCAAACATGCCTTTGTAACAATAGAAGAAGCATTGTTTTCTATGGTCCATCCTCCGAACTACTCGTAAGTACGTAAGTTTTGAGGTTTTCACGGCGATGACTATGAAGAAAGTCGTCTTCTGGGTTTTGGCGCCGTGTATTCTTCGTTTTGGCCGACGTTTCGGAGGAACGTATCGCCTCCATCTTCAGAGCAAGTGAATGGCTTGTGAATGCAGAGAGCAGCAGCATTACAGCTACATTATTGCAAGTGGGGTGGGACTAAGTACCTTGTAGTGCGGCCACTACTGGTCTATTATACCAGCCTCAGATGATAGGTGAGGGTGATTGTGGAGCAATTGGTGGAATTAAGATTGGCAGAGGAAACCTGCCCCAGCGCCACTTTGTCCGCCACAATTCCCACTTGACCAGACCCGGGATCGAACCCGGGCCGCCGCGGTGGGAAGCCAGCGACTAACCGCTTGAGCTGTGGCGCCGCCTACATACGAGGGTAAGTCAATAAGTAAGTTGCAAATGGATATAGAACTTAAACAAATAAGAATACTGATTTGAAAAATGCTTTTCTCAACATTATCTCCCTTTACATTGAGGCACTTGTCCCATCGTTTCACAAGCCCCTGAAAACGAGCAGCATAAAATTCTTTGGGCTGCTGTCGGAACCAAGCGGTGACTTCCCTTTCTACAGCTTCATCGTCGGGAAAATGTTCAGCCGAAAGATGATGTTTAAGAGTGCCGAACAAATGGAAGTCGCTTGGAGCAAGGTCGAGGCTATACGGAGGATGCTCGAGGACTTCCCACTTGAAATTTCGCAGCGTCTCATTTGTCTTGTTGGCAGTGTGGGGACGCGCGTTGGCATGCAAGAGCAACACGCCTTTGGTGAAGAGTCCTGTTCGCTTCCCTTGAATGGCCTTACGAAGTTTCCTGAGGATGTTGCAGTAGAAGTAGGCATTTACGATTTGTCCATGAGGCTGGAATGCGGTGAGCAGTATGCCTTCGTGATCCCAGAAGACTGTGAGCATCACTTTCCTGGAGGATGGTGTTACCTTAATTTTTTTTTCTTTTGGCAGGCGACGCAGGATGATTCCACTGCATTGACGCACGCTTTGTCTCGGGCTGGTAATGGTGAACCCAAGACTCATCACCTGTGACAATTCGGGCTAGCATATCGTGTCCTTCATTGTGGTAGCGATTGAGATGCTGTAATGCCAGACCCATTCTTTGCATTTTGTGCGCGGCACCCATCGCGCACAGACTTTGTGAAAACCTAACCTATCATGCATTATGAGGTAGGCCATGCCGTGTGAACAACCAATAGCAGTGGCTATAGTGTCTATAGTTACCCTTCTGTCTGCTCGGAGTAAGTCTTTAACCCGTTGCACATTCGCCTCTGTGGCAATCTCCGTTGGCCGGCCGACGCGGTGTTAAGTCTTCGATATGTGTCCGCCCTTCAGAGAACTTCTGCACCCAATTGTAAACAGCTTGACGTGACAGGCACTTCTCGCCGTAGATGGGAAGCATTTCTTTATGCATCTTTTTTGATTCCATACCTTTTGCCCACAAAAATCTCACTACGGAGCGCTGCTCGAAGGTTGTACACTCACTGAGAGGCGCCGCCATCTTGCAACTGCTGTTTCGCTTGTAAACATCGATTGTCTCGTGTCGATTTTCATCAGTAGCCACCGGAATAATGCTGCCATCTAGTGGCGATAGCCTCAAATGCCTCATTCAAACGTGTAGTACCCCACATCAATTTGTAACTTACTTATTGACTCCCCTACGTAACGTCAGCTTTCAGGATTAAGCTGTGTAGAATGTTAAAGGTTTTCCTTTTTTGAAAACATTGTAGTTGCCATCTTCAGGGTTAATGTTTTGAAGGGGGAGGGGTTAGGAAGTTGTTATGTAACTCTGGCAGTGGGCAAGGTTGGACGAAACTGCTGTCCAGTAGAAAGCGACCGCCTGGTTGCGGAAGATAGAAGTGCTGATAGAAGTTTATAGCGACCACGTGATTAGACTACGAGGCGCTGAAAAAAATTCTTCTATCACATAAGGTAAAGCTATCCCTGTAACAGGCCGTGAAGGCCCATAGGGGGTTGTGAGGCGTAGATGGTCCCACACTTTGTTTAGACAATCGGCTCACAGATGGCGGTAAGGTTGTCAACCTTACGAGCAGGCCGCTCTTGACCCCCTAGGAATATTCCTCGTACTCATTTATGTTAGAGGCTGAGTTGACCCGAGGACCATAGTGCGGCTGGAAGGATCATCAGGTAAATTGAAAAAATCCACTTCATCGGGAATCGAACACGCTACTTTCCGGCTTGTAGCATTGTGCTTCAACCAACTACGCTACCGCGTGCCCCTCTTCCATCACCTGTCGTCTTAAAATCTTGTCTTCCTAGCCTCAAATGCGAATATGGTGCCATATTTCCTTGCGGAAGAAGAAAAATAGGTAAAATTGTGACAAAGAAAATTACACGTGGTTCAATTGTTTACTCCTTGTAAACTACCTGACTTGCAATAGGCCTTGATTGTCAACCAGATACATATGAAGGCATTATGTGGCCCATTAAAGAAGTATTCTGTTTTGTTTTAGCCGTGGAGGCTGGACGACAGCGCCATGCGCCTCTGTATGGGCGGCTGGTGGCCGAGGAGCAGTTGGCTGCATCCATGGCCTCCACAGCAGCGACAGGGACGCCCTCGGACATCCAAGCTATGCAGGCGCGCATACCCCACAACTTCCGTGACCCTGCCACAGCGCCACTCCGCAAGCTCAGCGTCGATCTTATCAAAACCTACAAGCACATCAATGAGGTACGGTATTATGCACTTTCTCCTTTGTCCTCTCTGTTCTAGATACAGATGCGGATCAGTAGTTCTACCAGTCATCTGACAAACAGCCGAGCCAGTTCTGTAAAAGAAAATTTAATTGTGACCCGGTTAATTTTTAGTGCTTTGTTAATGTAAACCACACCGAAATGAGTTGAATAGGACTGAATTGTCACCAGCCGGATAGGGTCATCTGAGTGTACACGAGAACGTTGTGGACCGTTCATATAGTTGATAATCTTTACGAAAAATAAACCGAAAGTTAAAAGGGTTATCAAGCGAGAACTGGCGAAGAGGAGGTTGGTCTGCTTGCATATTCCGACAGCATTTTTAATTGGCGGAAGAATTGCTTCTCTTAGCAATTGAATGTACGTGGGGTTAGTGGTGTTAGGCATACAGCTGAGACATTAGTAGCTGAGGTTCTGACTGCATTGAATAGTCGAAAAGGTATAAATCACCAGGTATAGACCAGATTCTGACAAATTGATTCAGACAGGAGGCGAAATTACATTCTGAAATCCATGAGAATATAAATTGTATATGGAAGAAAGAGGAAATGCCTCAGTATTAGAAACGGTCTATTATTGTAGCTGTTAGAAGAAGGGTGACGAAACTGGCGGTAGTAGTTACCGATCGATGTCTTTGTTATCAGCGTCGTACGAAATTTCATCAGTATTCATCTCTCATGGTTAAGTCCATATGTAGACTAAATCATTGGGGATCGTCAGCATGGGTTTTGACGTAATATATCGACTGCTGATTACATATTTGCGTTCACTACATATTGGAGACAAAAATTGGAGTACAGTGAGACAATATTTCAGTTATTCATAGACGTAAAGAAAGCCTGTGATTCAGTAAGGAGGGAAGTATTATACAGTATTAAAAAAAGAAACTACGTGGCCTGTGGTCCGCAAGCGAACTATACCGACCGAGCGACCGCCGTTTGTCAGCGAAGTTAGTGCCAACTTGGGGATAGAGGGTGTCATGTGGTCAGCGCAACGGATCCCCACTGCCGTTAATCTCGGTTTTATAGAGCGGAGCCACTATTTCCTTGAAATAGCTCATCAGTTCTCATCACGAGGCTGAGCGGACCCTGTGCCAGGCCCACTGCTCAGAAAATCTGGTAGCGCCGGGAACCGAACCCGGACCTCTGGATCTGTATTCGGGAACTCTAACCACTAGACTACAGAGGCGGTCATTATACAGTATTATGAAACGAATTACGATAATTATATGTTTAAATAAAGTCAGTAATAATATCGTATAAGCAAACATCCACCTGATGGCGTGTCCTAGTCTGAATGGTTTGAAACAATGAGATATATTATCACCATTGCTTTTCAGCTTTGCTTTAGAACACGTCGGTGTGAGTATTCCAGAAAATGGGTAAGATTCAAGTTGAATGGGAGACATCAGCCTCTGGTCGGTGCTGGTCTTATTGATTTAGTGGGGTATAGCATAAGTGCCATATAGAAACTCGCGCACCCTCCGGCATATTCTATAAGGAGGCTGGTGTAGAAGTGAATGTAGAGAAAACTAAGTTTGTGTTGAAGAAAGCAGTCTTCTGGGATTTGGCACCGTGTATATGTGGTGTTAACCGACGTTTCGGAGGAACGTATCGCCTCCATCTTCAGGGTAGAAGAAAAAATATAAGAAATCTGCAAGCGAAGAAACCGTGAGAACCGGTAAAAGCAGACTGTTCTTCATAGTCACCGCCGTGAAAGCCTCAAATCTTACATAAGTTTGTGTTGATGTCTCGTCACCAGAATGCAGGGCAGAATCATGACATAAACGTAGCTAGATCCTCTGAAAGTGTGGCGAAGTTCAAATATTCGGGAACGGCACGCTAACAATTCAAAATTTAATTCGGAACGAAATCAAGAGCAGATTAAATTCGGGGAGTATTTTCTGCTGTTAAGTTTAGAATATTTTGTCTTCTTGCCTACTCTATGAGAGTTAAAACGCAGATAATTATAAATTTGTCAAAGTTTTTTTATTGTCCTACATTATTAGAATGATCGCCATAAGGAGGATGAGATGTGCGGTTTGTGCATGCATGGGAGAGGAGATAATACGCGTGTATGTAAAGTTGTGGTAGGAAGTTCAGAAGAAAAGAGACCGCTAATGAGAAACCAATAGGGCAGAAGGGATGTGGATTGGAAGCGCTGGCGGATTCTTGTGAACGTGGTAGTGAACCTTCGGGTTCTCAAGGAGGACTAGAGCAGACTAGAGTTAGTTAAATATGAGAACCAAGAAAGTACTAGGCAGGTCGACTCAGACATTAACATTACTGACCTGTATTCGGGAGCTGACTGGTTCGAATATCGACCGGGCCATCGACTATCGTGACTGAGAGTTGCCCCCCAGACAGATGTTGGGATAGTAAGTCAGTGATGCCACGACCGCTTCCTTCTAGTTCGGGGCTGCAGGCCTAGGGGCGTATAATCTGAGATGCTGACAGTTTCGTTAAGTAATCCACAAATAAATAAATAAGGAGAAGGAAACAGAACGTCGCGGCCGAGTGAGTAGCGTCTGTAGTTCATGTTCAGGAGGTCTTGGGTTCAAATGCGGGCCCATTGGCGAACTACCTTGGCTGGATTTTCGAGTTTTTCTCAGTCTCCAAGAAAGTCCCAGGACGGCACCTCAGTTAAATAGCGGCAACTCTTTCCTTTCACATCCTTTCCAGTTCGTTACTCTCTAACCATCGTATCATTCCTAGCGATATGGTCTGAGCTACTGGCATCATCTCGAAATAAATGAATAAATACACAAATATTGTCGCCAACTTCTGGGGAGTCTGAATCCCTCTAAGTACTCGTCTTCTGACTTTATACAGTATCCTTTGGATACATGTGACGTAGCGTAGGGTCCAGGGGCGATATAATGAAGCTTGGGGTTCCATGAGAGATGGGGAGATGACTAGCTGAGTGACTGTTACATTCACATGAACTGTGCTCCGTGGGGTTATTTAATGACTTCGAAACGTCGAAAGTGTGGTCAACAAATTCCAGAACTAATAAGCCTGCCGAAAGGAGAACAGAGACTGAAGCTACGAAGATGTAGGTTTGAATTCTTAAGTCACTGGCGTGCTAATATACCTTCCAGTCCCCGCGATAAGAACCCCCAAGTCACGACATGGTTTCCAAATCAATGGATGAAATTGGTTCTTAACTTATGCGTATAACGACACGGGAAGGAATTCAACTTGAAGCATGTCCAATATATGGTTAGGGATGCCTCATTTTGGGGTACGTCATTGGCAACTCACCACTGTTTCTTATGCTATGGAAGATTTGTAGTTTTTATTATTTATTTTTATTATTATTAGTGGAGTGAGACTGAGTCCACTTGGTACTGCGGCCACTATTGGCCTATTGCACCAGCCCCAAGTGACAGAGGATGGTGATTGTGGAGCAGTTGGTGGAATGAAGATTGGCAGGGGAAACTGAAGTACTTGGAGAAAACCTACCCCAGCGCCACTTTGTCCACGACAGATACCACTTGACCTGAGCCGGGCTCGAACCCGGGCCTCTGCGGTGAGAAGGCGGCGACTATCCGCTTGAGCTATGGCACGGCCAAGACTTGTAGTTACGAGAGAGCAGTTCCCTCTGTTTCGTAACTGTCAAAATGTCCAGAAAACCACGTCATATTTGGTCGATTGTGAAGGAGGGAACTGCATAAGTCGATACTTCCCGAACTCTGGGTTTGGGTAAGTCATGTTTCGATCGTGCCTTACGATGGATGGCAGGTTCTGTAAGTAGCTCCTCTAATTTATCATTTCCTCTTTCTTATACTGGGAGTAGTTTTTCTTGTTTTCTGCCTCCGTCCTTCTCCGAGCCTGACGTGTGGTTTGACATCGTCGAGATGGGTTAGTTCTGGGACGCGTGGCTGGAATTAATATGACCCTCGTCCACATACCACGTACCGCAACCTTCCACAACCTACAGGCTCTGCGTCAGTGCGCGAAACATTGCGTCAGAGCTTTAGATTTCTTTTGCTTCTGTCTCTAGGGTTAATACTCGTATTTCTTTTAACTGTTTGTCCTTCGCTTGTCCCCACCGACCAGCATCTTCCATACAGGTTTCCGTGTCATTTCACCCCTTTAATCGTGACGAAAGAAATGGGTCCCACCTAGGCGTATCTTTTTGTTCCACTTATACACGTATTGCCGCATCTGTTGTCTAGTGGTCAGAGTTACTGGCTACAGAGCTAGAGGCTCCGGGTTGGATTTCCAGCACAAGAAAATTTTCTGAGAAGTTGTGGATCTGGAACGGGGCCCAGTCAACCTCGTGAGAATAACTTGAGAAGCTACTTGAATGGAAAAGTAGCGGCTCCGGTCTAGAAAACCGAAATTAACGGCCGTGGGGTTTCGTTGCGCTGACCACGCGACACCCTCTGTCCGCAGAAAGTTGGCACTGACCTCGCCGACAAGCGGCGGTCGCTCGGTCAGTATAGTTCCCTTGGGGACTAAAGCCATGGAGTTTTTTTATTGACTAGACTCGTAGAAACCATGCAGGAACTCGAGATAGGTGCTTGCGTTGAAGTTGGCATAAAAGTGGAGTGAGTTTGGACCACGGATGGATATTTCCATGCGTGTGCTCCATTTCTCTATTCTGAAAACATCGCTACACGAGAATCTCCGGGGTAGCACATTCATAAACACGAAATCAATGTGTGACCTATTGCAAAACATAGCAATGTGTAAGCACTATGCATATAAAAATATCTGTAGCTGAACGGCGTAGCTCAGTCGGCATAAGTGACTAGGCTACGGGTTAGGCGACTGAGGAGTCGGCGTTCGATTTCTGGCACAGACAAGAGATTATTCTTGTTTATACGGCGCCTTGGCCGGTTCTGGGACTTACGCAACTTCTTATATGAATGAGCAGCAGGGATAAAATGAAATGTCTGAGTCTGGAAAATATTCATAAGTACCGTATTTACGCATGTATAGGCCGCACATTTTTTGCCAAAAATTCAAG